AGGTTGAAGCTGGGACCACAAGTGCCAGAGCGACAATTCTCTTCTTGCTTGTGATGGGGTGAAAAATGGACTCCTCGGGCCCGTCAACGTTTCAAATTTGTTTGGAAGAAATACATTGCAAGGGATCAAATGTGATGTGTTTTTTTGCAGTGCTGGTGTTTGTGTGCGCGCATTGCAGCTGCAGTTTGAAAGCTTCTAAAATATAGCGACGTTTTCTGACCTTTTGACATCTAGAAAGCACATTGTGCAAGAGCTCGTGCGTGATAGTTTCGGTACATATTGGCTGTGCATTTTGCATCCGCACTTGTTCAATCACATTGAGTATTTTCGAGCAAACAGCGTATAGATTCTTGGCTTGGAACTTCCCGAGCACATGGGTTCAAATCATTGTGGAAAGAGCGACCGTCTAAAATGGTGGTCTCAGAGAGAGAGTCCCTTCGAAATTCCATTTTGGCGCGGGTTGGCATGTCGCACGGTATGGCTTGTTTCGCAGATGATGAAATTTTTGAAGATTCCCCTTCGCATCAAGCTAGATGCGAAGCAGATTCCAGCCGGCAGCGGGTCCCTTTAGAAGATCCTGTCCCTGTGGCTCCTGGTACTTCTGAACATACCCCGCCGCCCACCAGAGCTTCGCCCAAGAGTGGTGGCAATGACTCGCAGGTTTTTCAAGAATCAGATGCTGAAGAAAGACTTCCACAACCTCTTTCCGAGCCAGCTGTTCCGAAGCGACCGAGTGCTTTAAAGAAGCAGAATCCGAAGCCGCAGAAGCGGCCTGCTGCAGCTGGTCCTCCTGAGGTTGAACCAGAGACGGCTGAGCCAGCCCCCAAGCAGAAGGTGCTCAAGCGTCCCGCGGCCAACGCTGCCCCAGTTGTTGAGTCTCGTGCAGATGAAAGTGGGCAACAGTTGTGCCCCGCGGCCGCTTACTCCTACAAGGACGAATCTGGCAATTGGGAGGTTGGGGATTGGGGAAAAAAAAGATCATTGTAACAATTTTGGCAAATGGTTTTGGTCCATGTGATTCATGCGTGACCGCGTGTGTGTCCAGTGTAAACTACATCTATGATACATGCCAACTCAAAAAAATGAAGAAATCTTTGCCCCGAGGTTTTTGTCCATACGCGAGCATCGGGTGAGCAAAAGGGAGACAAGTGGAGGATCATTGTGCATTTGCCAAGCCAGACTACCTATAAGTCTTGGCGAACAGCCATGAAGGATGGTTTTGATCGGTCGAAGGCCAGAGACCCTCATGCATAGTGATGTGCGTGATTGTGAAGCGGCGCAAGTTGTTCAAACCTTGCGCGTTCTTTTCTTTCAAAGTTTTGCATTTGGACCACGCGGTCCTGCTGCTGGATGCGCTGGAAGAAAAAACAAGGAGTGCCATTATCCATTTCAATTGTGGCACTCAGAAACACACTCAGCACACTTGGACGAACCTCCGACCCCGACGTCGCACTTCTCGAACACTGGATTGAGCTTTGCCACATTTTTCTAGAATCTAATCCCTATAGGTTTTCCTTTCCTTGAGGCTTTGTTTGTGTTTTTTGTGTTTGTTCGAGGTTCAAACAAGCCCAACCCCTAAGTAGCATAAGTAGGGTTCATGCTTTGTTCTGACCCGACTCGGTGTTGTGTATGAGCGAGTGTTAGATATTCACACGTTAACAAATATATGCGCCGATGGGACTTCCAATTAGCTAGAGCCTGGATCCTATATCCCCTCAAGTTTAGTAACATGTATACAGTATCCGGGTATATGAAAAGAAAAAAGATATATAGCTAGGAGCAGTTGTTGATACTAGCCGGTTGTCACCACGCACGTTTAAGTTCCCGGTGGCTATTTCGGCATCGCAGGGAGTCTCCCGACTCTTTGTGTCCTTCTTTTTCAGCACAGGGCTAGCGGCTCATTTCCCCACACTAACCACCGAAGCTAGAGAAATGAGTGAGTGAGTCCGTGGACGCGCAAGGCGGTGCTGAGTCTAGCGCATGTCACATTGGTTATGTCAACCACAGCTAGAGAATTGAGTGGATGAGTGTGGATACACAGGCAGTGCTGAGTCTAGCGCATGTCACTGAGTTATGTCAACCACAGCTAGAGAATTGAGTGGATGAGTGTGGACACACAGGCAGTGCTGAGTCTAGCTGACTGAAGGAACAGCTACGCATTGGCCAACCCCCAAGTTCCATGAAACCTCCAAGTTTCAAGACTTTGGATTTCTGGTGGTTGCTTGGTCGGCGCTGGTCGGCTCTGGGCGCCGGCGACGCTGTTCCATTGTAAATCGCAGTAGATCTGGCTCCGTTAGAGGGTCTGGTGGTTGCTTGGTCGCGACGCTGTTCCATTGTAAATCGCAGTAGATCTGGCTCCGGTAGAGGGTCTGGTGGTGGCTTGGTCGGCGCTGGTCGGCTCTGGTCGGGTGTGGGCGCCGGCGACGCTGTCCCATTGTAAATCGCAGTAGATCTGGCTCCGTTAGAGGGTCTGGTGGTTGCTTGGTCAGCGCTGGTCGGCTCTGGTCGGGTGTGGGCGCCGGCGACGCTGTTCCATTGTAAATCCGGGCGCCGGCCAGGAAGCCCGTGGCATGCCCGGAGGGCCTTCGGAAGTAACCGAAGGTTATAGACGCTGGCCCTGGCTGCCGCCGACCCTCGTCATCAAAACGGGGGGACCACCGGTTCACGGAAGCCCCTGTAATTTACAGTGTATCGTGTGTGTGAGGTATAAAAACACTGTGTTTTACAGGGTTTATTGCGCATATCGAAGTACGACGCGGCGAAGATGGAAAAATGCAAAAACGCTGTGTTTTTCAAGGGTGGTGTCGGTAATGCGCGCCGGGCGGACAGCCATAATCGACATTTGGTGGGTAGAGGCCTTCCAGACGATTTCAATTGCCTAACATATCCTCAACATAGGCCTAAGATAGCCAACATATCCCCAACATATGCCCAACATAGCCTCAAGATGGCTCAACATAGGGCCAACATAGGCCAACATGGAGCCAACATAGGCCCAACATAGGCCCAACCTAGGCCAACATAGGCCAACATAGGCCTAACGTCGGCCCAACATAGGCTCAACATGTGCCCAACATAGAGCACATGGGCCCAACTTGGCCCAACCTAGGGACAAGATGCGCACCAGATAGCTTAACTTGCGCCCCAGACCCCCACCCCCGTCTCCAACGCCGAGCAGTTTCCCACCTTGCCCCCACCCAGGGCCCTGTACGCCCCCGATAGCTGCACGTGCACCCGACCCAGCCCTACACAGACCCTAGTGCGCCGGCGCCCGGCTGTCAGGCGTAAGCCTTTAAATCGCAGTAGATCTGGCTCCGTTAGAGGGTCTGGTGGTTGCTTGGTCGGCGCTGGTCGGCTCTGGTCGGGTGTGGGCGCCGGCGACGCTGTTCCATTGTAAATCGCAGTAGATCTCCGTTAGAGGGATTTAGAGGGTCTGGTGGTGGCTTGGTCGGCGCTGGTCGGGTGTGGGCGCCGGCGACGCTGTCCCATTGTAAATCGCAGTAGATCTGGCTCCGTTAGAGGGTCTGGTGGTTGCTTGGTCGGCGCTGGTCGGCTCTGGGCGCCGGCGACGCTGTCCCATTGTAAATCGCAGTAGATCTGGCTCCGTTAGAGGGTCTGGTGGTTGCTTGGTCGGCGCTGGTCGGCTCTGGTCGGCTGTGGTCGGGTGTGGGCGCCGGCGACGCTGTTCCATTGTAAATCGCGGTAGATCTGGCTCCGTTAGAGGGTCTGGTGGTGGCTTGGTCGGCGCTGGTCGGCTCTGGTCGGGTGTGGGCGCCGGCGACGCTGTCCCATTGTAAATCGCAGTAGATCTGGCTCCGTGTGTACGTAGTACAACTTTAGTACGCGGAGTAGCTGTGGAGCTGGAAGCTGAG